TAAAACAGGAAGATTGGCCAGGAATTTAGCTCAGCGGTTTGGTGGACTGCCTTATAAGTGCAAGGACCCAAGTTCAATCCCCGGTACCAAAAAAAAAAAAGGAAGATAAAAAACAAAGAGAAGCAACAAATTTAATCTTTGATGGCTCCTGTATAAACCATGGAGAAAAGAAGCTAACAGTCAACAGATGTCACTTAACCAAAATTTCCTTTTTCCATAAATAAAAGCTACTGCCAAGTAGAGTAATGTAAAATGTATGCAACTATCTTGACACTTGTTATTAAGTATTTCAATATTTTGGAAAAGAAAGAGCTGTATAAGACTCATCCAAGTATAATAGCAAGCAATAATACGACGTGCAGTTTGGATATATTTAAATAATAGTAATAATAATAATGAGATCTCATGACATCATCTTGTCTGAAGTTCTACAATCTGAAGTAACACCAGATTCTAAAGAATTTACATTAAAAACTTAGCTCCCTCAATCCTGAATTTCTATAATGTACTTGATGTATCTGAAAACAATCACAACTTCTATAATCTCCTGGGGGTGAGGAACAGTATACTCACTTTGGAAAACAACTTGGCCTTTTTTTTTAGAAGAATACACCTACAATGCACCAATTCTATTCTCATACATTCACCCAAGAAGCAGAAACAAACATATGTTCACAAAAATGATTTCTAAGAGAATGTTCAGAGCTCTTTTATTTGTAAGCCAAAAAAAGACAAAATCCAAATGCCCCTGAACAACAGAGCCAATAAACATATTATGGCATATCCATAAAATACTATTTAGCAATAAAAACAAACACACTCGTTACCTGTGATAACATAACTGAGCTGCTCAGACATGCAAAGTATATAAACTGTATGATTTCATTTATCAAAGTTCTAGAACATACAGTAAGTACTGTGCTCAAGTTCAGGAAGGAGGGACAGGGTGGGAAAGGGCACACTTCCTACAGTGAATGAAATGTTCTGTACTTCAATAGGGGAAGGTAACAGGTACATGTGTCAAACTCATGGCAAGTTCTAGGTATTTCCCTACATGTAAATTCTTCCATGGGTTTTTTTTTTTCCCCCTCAGCATGTAATCTAATTCAATGCTTAGAGTAAACATCATCCTAGCTTTTGTGCTACTCTGATTGATTAATTTTATCAACAATGAATTTTAAATTAACAGCTAAGTCTCTTACCTAACAAAAGCAACAGCAAAATAAAATAGAAAACGGAGAAAGAAAAGAAACTAATATTACTAAGTCAGGTGCTCTCCTACTGTCTTGTCATTTCATTTAATTGTCACAACTCTGATAGAGATAGCACCTCTATTTGCATATGAAAGTCACTAAACCTCTAATACAAGAAATATTGCTACAGAAAACTGAACGCACAAACACAGAAAAACATATAAAACATATATAAATCCAAATACTGGAAAAACATTTTTAAAAACAGGAATTTTAGGGGCCGAGGTTCAGATGAGGCTCAGTTGCACAGCATGTGCTTAGCATATGTGAAGCCCTCAATTCAATCCCCAGCAACTGGAAAAAAATTAAGAATCTTAATATACAAAAAATTTTAAAACAACCATTTAATTTGTAACAGTTTTAATGTAAGAGTTTTCCTAGTATCCTGGCTGGATGAGGATACTCAAAACTGGTGACACAGGTGCTCTAATATCAGGCCTTCTACAGAAAAACTAAGTAAGTGAGACACTCACCTTTGCCATTTTATGAAGCCACAACTGAGTGGTGCAAATAACCATCTTTAAGAGAACTGGTGAGTGAGTGATACAAAGATATCATAGGATCCAAGGCAGAGTGCCCTCAGGAAAAAAACTATGCCTTTGCAGGTCACAACCCTCCTTGCCTCTTCCTCACACCCACAGGAAGTGAGAGGGTGCTCTGGTAGCATTCAGGGCACACTACTCCAAAATGTGACATTCTGTCACCTTCCCCTTGTCCTAAAGGTTCACTCCCTATATCCAGAAAAAAGGAACATCCTTATATCTGAACATATAAGGCTGAACAAACAGGCATTGCTAAAGTCCTTTCAGTTTATGAACACTGGGCACACAGGGGACCACAGCCCTTCCTATGGCTTAACAATCCACGAAAGGTGGGTAGGAATCCTGGCTAAGGACTTCCAACTGGTAAGAAAATAAGTGGGGAATAGCATCTCTCTGCATCTACAAACTGCACTATGAGTTCCCTGATGAAACTCATACACAAGCTCCGAAAAATTCCTAAGGTATAAAGCCCACTGGAAGAGCTAGGCACAACACAGTAGTGCACACCTATAGTCCCAGTTACTCAGAAGGCTGAAGCAGGATGATTGCCAAGTTTCAGGCCGGCCTGGGCAACATACAGAGATTCCATCTCTTTTTTTTTTTTTTTTTTTTTTTAAGTACTAGAAGAAGCAGCTGGAGAAAAACCAAATCAAAATAATTTCAAATTTATATTCCATAAAATTCTGGTTTAAATTTTCAAACTCTTCTATGTCAGAATATTCATGTTAAAAGCACTTTTTAACCAGTTTATAGGCAGTGAAAAATCAGTTTTCATTACAAATACCAAGTTATAAAAACTTCTACCCATCAATCATGTCCTTTCCCAAATGTCTTCTTGAAGAAATCAGAGTAGGGGAGAGGGAAATGAGATTGTAAGAAGTGTGTACAAATTTTGCAAAGGAATATCAGAAAATAACAAAAACATGACACATTAATTCATACACTAAAGATAACACTAATGACCTGATCCATTTTTCTTTTGTAATAAGACAAAATCTAAATGCTACCCAACAACAAAACAGTATCAGAAGTTATCAACATTATACAAAACTGAAGATTTTTTTTAAAAGCCTTCAATTTTGTGTTGTTTCCAGCAAGGAAAAATTAGTATATAATACACATTTCAAAGATTCAATGCAGGGCCAGGGATTTAGCTCAGTGGTTCCACCACCTGCCTTGCAAGTGCAAGGACCCGAGTTTGATCCCCGGTACCAAAAAAAAAAAACAGATTCAATGCAAGAAGTATAGTGGGTAGGACCTCTGAGGTAGAAACTCAAGGTAGAAAAAATTCTCCAACCTAGAATCATCCTTAAATAATTTAGCATTCTACTCTTATTGAGTAAAAATAAAACTTCACAAACCTGAGAAAGACCTAAGAATAATGTACAAAAGGGTAACTGCCAACAATACTGGAAAATATGTAAGAATCCTAGACTCTGTGTTTTGTTCTGTAGGTGCTAGAGATTGGACTTAGAGCCTTGCACATGTTAAGAACGCACTGAGTCACACACCCCCAGCAGAAACTTTAATGTTTAAATATACCTTATAGGCCTACAGTGTTTCCACAGCTTGTGAAAATCAGAGGGCAAACATCAATGTGCACTCAATACCATCAGAAACTCTGTTACACAAAAGGGTTAGTAATGTGTTACGTCAAAATAATTGCTTCCTACTTCCCAAATATCCCCTCCATTTCCTCCTTTTTTCCTCTCTATCTGCAATGTTCTCCATCTCAATCACCACCTTCAGAATTCCTACCAGTCAGTCCTTTAAGGCTCATTCCAAAGGCAACTTTCTCCACTGTTCAGCTTTCCTCCATTATTCCAGCTAGAAAAAAACATATTCTAAAGTCCCGTAGTGAACTTGCTCTGCCATATTTAAAATCTGTGGTTTGTACTGATTTTTTTCTCCTCTACTAAACTATAAACACCTCTATGGCAATGACCACGTAAATCTTCCTCCCCCCATAATCCTGCAGATAATCAAGTATTATACCCTGCATACAGAAGGCATCAACAAATGTATACAAAATAAATTAAAAGCATTATTTCAGTTAAGTCATAATTATCTTAATATTAATTAGCATAAAATGTTTACTCTAAAGTAACAATATTAAAAGATAAAACATATAATTTATAGCACTAACCCTTGGCGGCCCAATAATCATGCCTGTCCACCTTGTAAGTGTCATATCTTCATCATCTTCAAGGCCCCAGCTAACCGTACCATCGCCTACTCCTTTCTGTCCTTCTTCAAGTTCTTCCAACAAGCGAAAATTACGAGGAACTTTAACTCCTATACAAAAGAACATCAACATAAATGTACAAAGCTCATAATTATAAGAGCTTCACATTTTCCAAATTAATCTTTACAAATTATTTCCCCAAAATACAAAATTTCCCTCAAAAAACTTTCTGCCCCAGAAAATGCTGAGTCTAATAACCCCTCAAAATGAAAATATCACAGAAAGCACTGTATCAAACATTAAGAGCAATAGAGAACATGTACAAAATTCCTACTTAATTTTATACTGTCATCAGTTACAAGGAAATCATCATAAAATGACCATTTTCTCTACCTAAAATACCAAGAACTCTGCATCAAATTAACAAGCATGAGTAGAAAGTTCACACAAATTCTAAAGATTTTTAGTGAAAATTATGTTCCATCTTAAAAATGTACCAAAAGTTAAAAAGAGTTTTCTGGAATACGGGAGTGGTTCTGCCCATGGTCCACACTCTTCCTCTTCCCATTTAGAGTTTCTGTAACTGGGCCAGGGATTTAGCTCAGTGGTTCTACTACCTTCCTCAAAAGCGCTAGGTCCCGAGTTCGAGCTCCAGTACACCCCCAAAAAATATTTTCTAGCCAGGTGTGGTGGTGCACGCCTGTTATCCCAACATTTGGGAGGCTGAGGCAGGAGAATCACTGTGAGTTCAAGACCAGCCTGGGCTACATAGTGAGACCCTGTCTCAAAAAACTAAGTTTCTGTTGTAATCAATTGGGCCCTCCTCCGCAAGGTCAGCACCATCATTCAATTGTCACATGAGGAGTGACTATTTTTGATCTGTTAACAAATCTTACATTCCTAGTTTCCTACGACATTCCCTTCCCCTTCTGGCCCAACCTAGCTAACTTTTCTCCATCCACTAAACCTTCTCACATTTCCACTCTATGTCACACATTTCTACTGTTTGGACCTCATCACTCAAGGGATTCCTAAGTTCTTAACATAGAAATCTCTCCATCTATAACCTCCTATATTTCTAGTTTTCATGCCTTCTTTCTCAACCTGATCTTACCCATCATTCTGACCTCCAGTCCTTGGAATCCAACCACATATCTTCCAATTTTCCATAATCTTTCCTAGGACGCCTAACTAGGACTCTACTGAGAGGTCTGTCATGTGCTCAACAACATCTAATATGTCACATCCCCAAATTCTTTTTTCTGTTGTGGTACCGGGGATTGAACTCAGGATCCTGCTCTATGAGGCAGGCAGCAGCACCACTGAGCTAAATCCCCAGCCCAGCACCCCCAAATCCTATCATGTTCAGTTAAAAATATGAACATGCCCTCAGAATCTGGTCTCTGGTGCTCTGGCACTCATGTACTTGTAAACATGCTCTCTCATATACAGATAAAATTTCAAGGTAGAGGGCCAGGGATTTAACTCAGTTGGTTCCTCCTGCTTCGCAAGCACAAAGACCCGAGTTCGATCCCTGGTACCAAAAAAATAAATAAAAATAAATAAATAAAATATCAAGGTAGAAAGAAAAAATGACATCTGCTTAAAAGCAATTACATCACTTTGTGTAGCTTCCCTGTCCATGAAACCAAAACATCCCTTTTACTTCCTACTTGATAGTAATTCTTCTGGACATACAATGAAAAGTGTATACTGTACATTTAAAATAAAACAAACACTACCAATTTGTGTACATATGCTTTGTAAAACCAACTGAAAATCATAGGCCACAGAAATAGTGTTATAAATCACAGTAAAAAGTGTTAAACATTTGTTTAGCATATATTGACGTTTTAAATAAGTTATTCCATTTAACCCTAAAAGCACCTGAAACTAAAGAACTCATGTGACCTTCCGAAGGTTATACAGCTCAGGGGCAAGTCCAGTATAAAAGCCCTGTTTCCAGACCATGGCTTCCCTTTTTACCACTAAGATGTACAGCACTACAAGCTGAATAGACAATATATGCTAGTAACATAAGCACACAGATTCTAGGAATCAAACTGCCACATTCCAAGTCCAGGTCTGCAACCCACTTCTAACCTATAACTCTAACAACCTTTTCTCAATTGTAAAAGCAGATAACAATTCCTACCTCAAATAAATCATTTTAGAATCCATATTAAATAGAATGACATAAAACGTCTATTTGCTGTGCTCACTTCAACAGCACATATACTAAAACTTCTACTTGCCTCTATCTAAACTATTGACAATAACAGCTCCTTATAAATTCTTGTAAAGCAGTCCCTGGAAGTTTATCATTCAAGTCTAAATTTCTATTCATGTAACACTGAGACAACTACCTATGTTTTGGTAGCTGTAGAGTCATTATTTATTGCTATTAAACTGCTCTCTCTGAAGTAATACTGAACAATCCTGATTACCCCTACTATTATGAAGCCATTCCACCAAAAATAAATTTGAGTTGAATTTTTATAACCAATTTGGCCAGGTAACCTTTATGAGCATCTAAAACTACAAAGAAAACAAAGTAAAATTAGTTTCTTTAAGTGTGCTATGTGACAAATTAAATTATACTTTCATCATCTCTCTATACAGAATTTTGGAAAAATGATGCAAAATTAACAGACCCACTACTGGCAATGCTAATATTTAAGGATTACAGTTGCTATGATGACTTTGTTATTTTACACTCCACCCAAAATGTACAGTGAGCTGTTTTCAATTCAGGGCTAGATTGCTCTGGTCTTATTTCACCTAATACCTGTAAAGAGGAAAAAAAGCCACAAGGTGGGGATATTGCATCACAAAAATTACAGGGAAGGGTCTACACTCTGGGTCTCAAATTAGGCAATAAAAACGTTATAAGAACTATTAGTTAACAACAAAGCAATCCAACAATTGAATTCAGGTTTCTGAATACTATTCATATTCAAATATCCTAGTTACTACATCACAGTGAACTTCCACTCTAGAGAAATTAAGACCAAAAATAGTGCCAAGCATGGTGATGCATGCCTGTAATCCCTGCATTCTAGAAGGCTGCAGAAGGATCAAAAGTCTGAGCCCGGCATGGGCAACTTAACAACATTTTGAGACCGTGAATCAAAATTAAAATAAAAAGACCCAAAATATAGCTCATTGCAAAGGCCCTGGGTTCAATCCCCAGTCACACACTCACACACACACACACACACACACACACACACACACACACACACACACACACACACACACACTCACACACATACACACACACACACACACACACAGTACAACAGGGATTTATTTACCTTGTGGTTTTTCAGTTCTTAAAGAATAGAAAGATTTATAAAAGCTTTTTAATGTTTTCCAAATTCTCAGATTAGAACTCAAATATTTTGATTTTTTAAAAAAAGGAGGAAACATTTGCCTAGATACTAATTCCTCATCAGATAAATTAACGCAGAATTCATGCAGGAAGCAAAACTAAAAACAAAAGAGAGTCCTAAAGTAGACATGTATGAAAATGTTATATTTAGTAGAAGCAGCATTAAATCGAATGCAACCTTGTTACCAGAAAAATAAACCATTATTTTGCCTTAAAAGACACTAAAGGGTTGGGCCAGGGATTTAGGTCAGTGGTTCTGCCACCTGCCTCCCAAGCACAAGGTCGCAAGTTCAATCCCCGGTACCAAAAAAACACTAATAGGAAAATTGGCAGAATATGAATAGAACCTGCAAATAAGTTCATCCATGTTAATTCCCTGATATTATTATACTGTTGTAATATAAAATGTTCTAGCTTTTAATAAATACGTAAGTATTTAGGGCTCAAAAAGCATATTTCTGTTAACTTACTCTTAAATGGTTCCAAAAATAAAATGTTTGTTGTAGGGGAAGAGGTGAAAACACCCAAGTGCATGCAAAAAATGTTAAATATTAACAGTGAAGGCACTGGTAATTCTTTTTAGTATTTAACTTTTATATAACTCTGAAGTTAATTTTTTTAAAGAAAAAAATGAGAAAAATTAATGATGTTAGAACATTTTATCAATATAGGGAAATAAAATTAGCAGCCTCTCTCTCATGGTAAATAAAAAACAATTCCGGCCAGGCATGGTAGTGCATGCCTGTAATCCCAGCAGGAAGCTGAGGCAGGAAGATCACTGAGAGTTAAAGGCCACACTGGAATACATGGCAAGACCCTGTCTCAAAATCGAAAAAAGAAAAAAGATAGAATTGTAAGCAAATTAAATGTATAAATGTGAACAGTAAACCAGACTTTAACAAAAGATATCCTTATTACCTTAGGATGTATGAATGGATTTCTTACAACAAAAAAAGAAACCAAAAGGCAGAGAAGTTTGACTAAAATATAAAACTGAAATTCAACAAGACAAATGAAAACAAAGGCCAAAGACTAAAAGAAGACATAAAAGACAAAATGCCAGTATTCAAAGTACAGAAGGAATTCCTCCCTTTAAAAAAAAAAGCAAAAGACAAAATTAGAGGAAAATGGGCATATATTTAGAAAAAGGTTTACAGCAGAAGAAAACAGGAATAATCAATAAACATATAAAAATAAGTCCAATCTCAGCAGTATTCACTGAAATATAAAGCCATAATGACTTATCTAACAAATCCTGGTTTGGACAAAGATGTACATACAGAACTTCAGAAGCTCAATTGCTGCTAAGATTAGAAAAAACTGGTACAATTCAGGTGAGCCAACTGGTAATGTTTATGGTGATCCAAGTATAGACCTAAAAAAAGCCAAGCAAATGCTCCCCAACAAGACAGAACAAAAATGTTATCTGAGTCCTTTAAATAGGGACAATTTAAAAATAGCTTGCACAACACAGCATACAATAGTATACTACTCTGCTGCAATCAAAATGAAGGAATAGAGCTTCTAGTACCAATCAAGGCTACAATTTTAAAAACCTATTATTTAATGGGTAGAGTTTCAACCTTACAAGATGAAAAAGCTCTAGAGCAATGATGGCAAACCTTTTGGAGTTTTCAATGATACAGCCCACTGTAGCACATAGGCCATAGGTTCACCACCATTGTTTCAGAGACTGCGTGACAATGTGAATATATG